GCTGTTCTAGGCATCTCCCAGCTACCACATGAGTTTAATGTGCAGATCAGATATTGCTGTACAGTTTATTGTTTGTGTATTGCTCTTGCAGAATGTTTGTTGGGATTCTTTGTGAAATGTACAATGATAAGAAAGTTTCATGGAGTAGAATCAGATAAAAAAAAAAGAGAAGCATACCCATGAGAAGAAAGAATGAGCAAACCAAATAAATGTCAGGCTATTGATCTCTCAGATCATGCAAAGCCTTTGAAAAATATGAAGTCTCTTTCAGGTGGCAGAGAAGTCCTGTCAATTCTACTTTACTGACCTCTAAGTGTCAGCATAATGCTGTGGACGGGCCTTTTGCCACCTGACTTGCTTTAGGAGCAGTATTTCAGTTCCTCCAGATTCCTCAGATGTTCCTGAGTGAACATCTCACTTTTTAAAAAATTCCTTTTTCTTTCAGCATCACTGTTAGGAACTTTCCATAGCTTCTCTATCCTAAATGGTCATGTATCTTTCTTTTATACATTTCCTTGGTTCTTTACATTTTGTTCTTCTGTGAATGGTTACAAATTTTCACATATGAAAAGATGAAAAATGAATGTGCAGTGCTGCGTAAATTACTAAAACCTGCCCTAACAATTTAGGTGACCTTCCTTTGCCAGAGTAGCCAGGTATATCTGCAATGTGATGGGAGAGGGATGCAGCAGGACACCCTAGGGCTATTTTGCATAGCCTGGCAATGGTATCAAACATGCGCAGTAAATTACTAAATCTGGCCTTTCTGATGGGTATGGTGTATCACCATGCCAGCACAGCCAAGCTGATCTTCACGTGCACTGCAGATGTCCCCAGGACTGGCAGCTGTATTGAGCAACTTGTCCTTCACCAGCCTGGAGGTCACCAATAAATGCAGAGTCCTTAGAGTCCTCGCATTTCATGCAGACTTTTGAGAAAAGGGGTTGCATCTGAGAGGAGCCTGTGACATCTGGTAGGCAGGGATGGAAAGTCAGCTAACTCCATTGTAGTGATGGAGTACTGAGGCCATTAAATAAACACAAAGCCAGCAAAAAACCCAAAAAAAAACAAACAAAAAAAGAAACCACCAAAAAAAAAAAAAACAGACCTCTGTAGGAGTGGAGCAGGTCTATTAAAAACAAGAGTAACTATGGAATAACATTTCTTTTCCTCAGCATTATTTTAAAGCCATCCTTTAGATGGTGGTTCCATCAGCGGGCCTTTGGTCTGCATGCGCTTGGGAAAGTCCCCAAGTGCAAAGACAGCTGTGATGGACAGTTACTGAATAGCACATTTTGCTATGATTCATGTAATCAAGTTATTTCTCCAGTTACATGCAGTGTCAACCGCATGTCTCAATAAAATCTAGAGAATTAAGCTGCCTGGAGAATTTGAGTAGCATTTGAGAAGACATAATAGCACAAAAGATCAAGGGGATTCACTCTCAAGCATTGTCAGGGATGTTAACAAAATTACCAGTGAAGAAGAAAAAATGAGTCAATGATGAATAATCATGTACTATATCAGGTAAGTCAAGCCTTTGTCTCTGCAGTAATTAACTGTTCCAATGATATGGGCTGGCAATGTAATGAGGAAGCATCAGTGAACATGCACTAATTACATTTGCTTTCAAATTCAACAGAAGCTGAACAGCTGTTTGGTGCAGTCGGCAAGTTAAGTGCACTAGTCAGATCCAATTTTGAAGTGAATCCTTGATGTCACTCAATGATTAATGTGTAGGCTGAATGTTTAAGGGCATGATTCAGCTAAAAAATACTTTCAGTCTGTGTCTTATTACCTTTTGGTCTCTTGATCACACCTTCCCTGTACAAAAACTCACTTTGAGGTATGTGTGTGGAGGGGGTAGGAAAGAAGCAGCTGAAGAGAGTGACTTCTGGTGTCCTCCTTGCAGACATTTCTTGCCAATCATTGGTGGAGAGCAGAAGAACAGAATTTATCCTCTCCTGCTGGGAAAGCAGCTGTGCAGATAGCTTGCAAGACTTGTAGTTATAGCCTGTACCTGGAGCCTGCTGCATCAGAGGTAAACTAGGGCATCCATCAGAGGAAAGAGCTGTTCCAGTTCATTGGATCACATTAAAAGGCATTTTAAGTAGGGAAGGAAAATTTTAACAATGTTATGTTAGCACATGGACTCCTCAGGAATTGACTGAGTGGCTCCATGACCCTCACCACTGCATCTTCCTAGCTTTTCTATTACAGCCCCAGCTCCTGCACTAGGGACTAGGGCTCTGGGCTGGAGTAATCAATTGTAATAACATGATATTTTCTTGCTGTGTCCTGCTGTGTCTGATAAATATATTCCATATTCTCATTGTCCTGGTTTCAGCTGGGACAGAGTTGATTTCTTCTTCGCAGCTGGTACAGTGTTCTTTGGAATCAGGATGAGAATTATCTTGATAACACACTGATGTTTTAGCTGTTGCTAAGTAGTGCTTACCCTAAGCCAAGGACTTTTCAGTTTCCCATTTTCTCATGCTCTGCCAGCGAGCAGGTGCACAAGAAGTCAGGAGGGAACACAGCCAGAACAGCTGACCTGAACCAAAGGGATATTCTGGGCTGTAGAATGTTATACTCAGTGTATAAACTGGGAGGGGGCTGGCAGTGAGTGGCTCATCTCTGCGTGTGGACAGGAGGAGAATTGCTGAGTGAGTGGTGAGCAATTGTATCAAACTGCTCTTATCTCAACCCATAGGTTTTAACATTTTCTGATTCTCCTCCCTGTCCCACAGTGGAGAGGGGCAGGGAGTGGTGGAGGAGGGGGTGTGAGGAGGGAGGCTGCCTTTTTGGACTGCTGTGGTTTAACCCCAGCCAGCAACTGAGTCCCACACAGCTGCTTACTCACTTCACTTGAAATGAAGTGAAATAGAAAACTAATAAAAATAATGAAAAGAAGAAAGAGAGGAATAAAACACGTGGGACACAAATGATGCACCATAGAATTTCTTGGGAAGAACATGGGAAACTGAAAAGTCCTTGGCTTAGGGTAAGCACTCCTTAGCAACAGCACCCCTAAAGCAACATGATTCTCATATTAAACCCAAAACACGGCACTGTACCAGATAACAAGCATAATATTAACTCTACCCCAGCCAGAATCAGGACACTGATATGTGCACTATTTCTACCCATCTTGTAATAAATCTGGAGGGAAGGGATGCCATCCATTGACAGACTTGAGAGTGGGCCTGTACAAACCTCATGAAGTTCAAAAAAGCCAAGTGCAAAGTCCTGCACCTTGGTCAGGACAATCCCAAGCACAAATACGGGGTGAGTGAGAATGGATTTAGAGCAGCCCACAGGAGAAGGACTGGGTGGTGTTGATGGATGAGAGGCTGGACATGACATGTTGACATGTGCTTACAGCCCAGAAAGCCAACCATGCCCTGGGCTGCATCAAAAGAAATGTCACCAGTAGGACAAGGGAGGTGGTCCTGCCCTTTTACTTTGCCTTTGTGAGATCCCACCCGGAATTCTGTGTCCGGCTCTGAGGCCCTGAACACAAGCAAGATGTTGACATTCTGAAGGGAGTCCAGAGGATAAGCAAGTCCAAGCCTTGAAGAGGCCTGGAACAGCTCTCCTGTGAAGACAAGCTGGGACAGTTGGGGCTGTTCAGCCTGCAGAGAAGACTTTCAGAAGACCTTACAGCAGCTGTCCAGCACCTAAAGGGGCCCTGGAAGAGAGCTGGAGGGGAACTTTTCATAAGGTGATGTAGTGATAGGGCAGGGAGGAATGGCCTTAAGGTGAAGTAGGGTAGGTTTAGGATTAGTTATTTGGAAGAATTTCTTTACTGTAAGGGTGTTGAGGCACCGGAGCATGTTGCTCAGAAAGGTTGTAGACTCCTTATCTCTGAAGGTGCTCAAGACCAGATTGGATGAGGTTCTGAGTAATGGAGTAATGGAATGTTTCTTACTTATGGCAATGCAGTTGGAATTAGAAGATATTTGAGGTCCCTTCCAACCCAAACCTTTCTACAATTCCATGGTTCCATAATTCAGTGATTGATAGTATTTAATTTCTGGGTTTTTTTTTTCCTATGCTTCATAAAAAATCCCAGTCTTGTCATTTGATTTGGAATGGATTGGCACTGGTCAATGAGAGCTGAAGAATCACCACAGATGTTTCTGGTCTATGTGAAGGTTGATAAGACAGTCAGAAAGCAACAGGTGGACACTCAACCATGTGCATTGTTAGAGAGAAACATCTGGGATTTACTTAATTAAAGCCTTTTTCTTATTTGCTTTCAGCTTCTCATAATGTATGAGGGTAAATGCATAGAAAAACGCTAGGTACAATGAATGGGATAATTTAGTGTCCTTGTATTAACAAAGGGGCTTTCTTGTAGAATGACATGTGGCAAGTAATCTGAAACTTAGGTTTTGGTCTTTTTCCATGCCTTGGTAGGCAAATGCATTTCCTTTATCACTTCAGCCCTTCTGTGTCTGTCACAGTGATAGACTCTTTTTGATTGCTTAAAATATTACTTTTAAAAGAAAAGAAGAATCTCTCTGATAGGTCAATGCTGGCTTTGAAAATGAATTACTCTTGGTCAGATATTCTTGTTTCAGGGCATTACAGAAAATATAATATATGGCATTACATTCAACATTCTCATCTGGATACTACTTCCCTCAGAGCTCATCAGCAGTCCTGATCAAAAGCATGACTTTGGTGTAGGTGCATTTTTTAGCTGCATATAGATGAGAATTAGTTTTAAGATTATTAATGAGTCCACAAAGACAGAATCATGGCAGGAAAGACAGAAAGCAGCCTGTCATCCTCCTTTCAATTGTGTGGTTTCCAGAAATGAAGTAACTTGCGTGAATCATATAATCAGTATTCACTGTGTCAGATGCAAATTTATGGTCCTACAGTTCTCTCTAAATGCAAATATTGGGGCTAGAATCAGTACTTTACTAAAGAATCAGATATTGACAATGTCAGCACATACTGAAACAGGCTTAGTTAAAACAATTTTAATGGAATCAAGCGACATCTTTAAAAGTGATCTCCTTTGTCACAGAACTTCAGTTTCTCTGTCTAATTCCGCAGCAGCACAGAAATGCAGGAATAAAGAAGTCATTACACTTCTTAGATGTCCTTTCTGCCTGCACAGCATGGGTACAGAAGAAGAAAAGGTTATACAGACTTGCTTAACAAGCACAATGTTGTAGTCAAAGTATGAAAATATGGTCTGCTAGGCAACACTGAACCTAACACTCAACCCAATCACATCCACCTCTGATAATAAATTACTGATGTTTTCCAGAGCTCCTTGAAAGTTAAGCTGAAGGTCTATGGAATTGATCACCAAATTTAATCAGACACAGCAAAATCTAGCAGCCACCCACTCTGCTGAAATACAAATACGTTGTGGCAAACTGCCTCTTAGAGGTGTTCATGTGTAGATATATAACTGGGTGATCAGAGAGAACTGACCTTGAATTCAGGGGACTCTCTCAACCTACAGTTTATTGATACTGAGTTTGGGATTTCCTCCTGAAGGCCACTCCTTCAGTGAAGAAGATGAGAAAAGTACCTCCAGCCCTGCATGGCCTGGCAAAATTACACTGTTTCTGTCTCTTATAGACTGTGACATACACACACAGGGGACAATACTGGCAAAACAGAGAGCCTAAAGTCAAAGAAGATTGTATAGAGGGGGTTTGGAGGGAGACCATAAGGGAAAAACATATTTTACTTCTTTTACAGTTAGATAGTTCACTTCATAATTTTTTGTAGAATTATCTTTGGAACTGTTACCTTTCAAGTCTGCCTTAAAAATATTTGTGTTATGTGGGTTCTTATTCTTCATCCATTATTGTGTCTCAAGGTTTCGTGAGGGAGGCTTTCACCTACATTGGTATGCAGCATATGTATCCTATCAGATGTTACTTATTATGCCATTAAAGAGTGAGAAAGAATAACACATCTATGCCAAAAGAAAAGGTTTTACAGACATCTCAAAAATCGTTCCTATAATCTTGCCACGTAAACAATGTTTGAAAAGAGGAAACAATTTAATGGTAATTAGGATGTAACACCTCCAGCTTTGCATCAATCTGCACAGAAATAATGTAGGCCAAGAGTTGACAAGCAGAATGCAAGGAGAAGGATGTAGCATCTCTAAGCCAGCAGAAATCCCTATGCTTAACTTCCTCCTCAAGGGCTGTTTTTTTTTTTTTTGTTTTCCTTAAGGATGCTAATACACAGTTTGTGAAGAGAAAAGGGCTTTATCGTCATGTCAAATGAACAGCTATATAATAAATTCTCTTTGCATATACAGATATATGCTACCCATCTCTCTTTTGTTAAAAAGTAGTGACCTGTTTTTATCCATTCCTATAAAGTGTACCTTTTGCTAAGACTACTACTAACCCCAGAAATTTCAATGGTATGCTGTAGATTGTATCAGGTTTGAAATTTGCATGAAAGTGTTGATATTTTGTCTTAAAATCTAAGGAAAAGATTAGCTTAATGGCAAAAAAATACACTTTGAAATGGATATTCTCTCTCCTCACCAAAATGGTTAGCTAATGAAACTGAAATAAATTAAAATCTGAAGGGAAGTGAAAACAGATTCTGAAAAAGATAGGGTGATACAACAATACAAACTGAGATGGGTAAAATCACATTGGAGAGAATACAAATGAAGTTAAAAGAAAAGATGGTGCAACAAGATAGGGGACACAATGCCAAATGAAAAAAGTAGACAAAACCATTAACAAGATGGGGGCAGGGGGGAGATAATGATTCAAAAATGTAGAAATGTAGAAGGATGCAAAAGGGAACAATGACAAATTGTCAGTGAAAAGGAAGGAGGAGGTAAAGAAATTTAAAGAGTCTTATGTCCCATGACATTAAAAGGAATAATTTAAATTACAATGTTAAAAAAATCCATAGGTATACAGTACTGAAAAAAAGTAGGAAATGAATGTTGCAATAAATAACTGTGTTCAGAAAGATTACCTTCTAGTTTTTCTCTTCAGAAAGAGAGAGAATGACAAAGGTAAAGAAATTAAGCACATCTGGAAGTTTCCCTTTCACAAGTGCAGCTAAACTAAGATAAGCTTATGTTTATTTTGGAAATAAGACTTTTCTTACCAGCCCTTATATGTAAAATTCTCTAAGAAAAAAAAAGGGAATGCATATCACATTGTTAATAGTTTGACTTCAGAGAAACTGCTTCCCAGCTTTTACGTTACCTGAAATGAATTTTGCAGGCCCAGAGTACTCAGGAATGGATGAATTTCAAATCATGTAATGTCTGTGGGACTGTGATAACTCATCACACTTGGGAAATCCACCCTTTTTTAAACCTAGGAGTGTAATGAAAGAAGGGAAGGAGACTATATCTAAACTGCTGTAGCAGATGGATATATTGGATGAATTTTGTAAAATATAGTCACTGTGTCTGTGACTGGCAGTTCTTTTGGATTTATTTATTCTAGGCTCAGAGAAAAACCAAAATTGCTCCCTAAAAGTTCCAACAAAGACTCATCTCTCTGTGTCTCTCTGTTATGTCTAAGAAGACAAAAAAACCAAAGAAGAATATCTTTTTCCTGAAAACAGTATCTCATAAGAAGTAAGACCATGAAACAAAGAGTGTGTTGTTGCAACTGATCTTTCCCCTGTTTGGAATCCTGCATTTAATGTTATGAAAGCAAGATATGACTGTATCTGCCAGCATATGACTATCTTGTGATTCTGATATAGAACAATTTCTGCCTAAACTTCGGAAAATCAGTTAATCTTTAGTACAGTTTGATATGTCTGAAGAGGCTTATGACTCATAAAATACTTCATCCATTAGCATTGATATACAGAAGTGATGCATTTTGCTTCTTCATTCACACTGTCATAATTTCCATGTGTTCACTATAAAAAAGTAACTTTCTGTTTGGAAGCCTCTAATTCTAGAGTGAAACCTCAAAGAGATCCAAAACAAATGTTCAAATTTTAATTTTTAAGAGTGTAGTATTTTTATATCTGCCTATCCCATTGGCCACCTTGAATTTTTTGTTTAGAAATCCTTTTTTTATATTTTAAGCTTCCTTTCAGTAAGAGAGACAAATCAATCACATTTACCAGCCACATATTTACACACAAAATTTAGAACAAATATTCTGCTATAAAACCAGTAAAAAAAAAATGAAAAAATAAACCTTTTTGAGATACTCCACAATACCTATATGATTTAAATCCATAACTCACTCATAAAGTTCTTCCACTGTTTACAATGCTGAGAGATTACTAAAACTTAGATTTGCTTACTATCTGCCTATGTGACTTTCTGCTTTGAGAAAAAAACAAGTATAAATCCTACTAATATAAAAGACCAACACATATGAAAATGGAAATGTTCATCGGTTTATATTATTGGTGCAACATTATCCAAGATTCTGAAGGAGAAAAAGTTTGACAATGTAGATAGGTATGCTATAGTTGTAGTGTAGTGAAACTGTAGCTTCTCTACCTTAAGCTGCCAGAAACTATAATTTAAAGCTCAATATATTTTCTTAACTATTATTTTGTACTCCCCCAAATTTTGTTCTAAACTTCCATCGTGATTAACAGAAATTTAGGTTTGTTGCCGGCCTTTAGCGAGGTCTATCAGTACACCTCTGGGTAAGACTGAGGAAATGCCATATCACTCTCAGAGGTTTTTTCTGTTTTAAGAGTGATCCTCTTCTTCCACAAGATAGAAGTATGTATAATTTACAGGAAGAGGCCTTGCCCATTTGTGCTTTTTGAGCATAGATGCAGTTTCTTTTTGACGCTCAAATACTTTGGTAATAGTGGAAGTGAAGTAGCACTTGCTGTCTGTTCCCACTCATGCTTTCTGCCAGGAGCTCTAGAGAGGGTCTTAGGGTGAGTTGGATTGGCTTAAAGCACATCTTGTGGTCACATGATGTGGAGTTTTAAGACTTTCCTTCCTTGTTCATTAGAGTATTGTATGAATTTTGTAATATTTTATAGAGTTTTTCCAAAGAAGTCTTCAGGTTGTGTGTAGTGGCATCACAGCTGTGCACTATTCTATCAGCATAGCCGTGTACTCAACACACTGCATCAACCCTCAGGCTCTAATACCTTAGGATTTCTTGCACTGCAATTTAATGTATTTCTTTCTGGTTGCCTTGCTTTCAAAAAAAAACCCAAAAATGAAACCAAAATCCAAACAAACAAAAACCAAAAAAACAAGCAAACAAAACTAAAAAGAAACAAAACCAAAAACTAAACAACCAACCAACCAACAAAAAAACCTCACCACAAAACTAAAGCAAAAAACCCCATATATTTTATTGGTCTTCTAGCTCAGAGAGCCAAACTGCATATTTCTGAATTTTTCTTGTTTGAAATGCTAAGGAGACACCTTACTGCTGTCTCATATTAATACCAGTGTTGATATGTTCCTGCCTTTCATAAAGTGTTCTTTGAAAGCTACCCACCAATTTTGTTGTTAACAATGAGCTAAACGAACACCAAAGAATAAAACCAAGAGGAACTAAAAGAAGTGTAGAAATATGGGTGCATTTCTAAAGTCAGCTACGTGGAAAAAGAAACCTGAACAGGCCCTCTGCAGAGCAGAGGCAAAAGGATGATTCACTGTATTAAAGCTCACATCTGCTTCAGCACGTAACAGGAGCAGCTGCTCACCCTCACCAAAACACAGCACTGTAGTGAAAGATCTGAGCATAGAAGTTCACAGAAGAGCCTTTTCTGTGGCTCATCTGGTGTAATATTGACATTTCAACATGCTTACACAGTAAAACAAGTTTTGGTGAGGCTTACCTTAAAAATACCTCCTAATCTTAATTGATCTACTGTTTTGTTCCATGAATTGGCATATGAATGGCACAGACATGGCAACAGTTTACAAATATGATACATCCAGAGAACAACAACCAGCATCATGGAAAGCAGAAATGGTGAAGTCTGGTTTTTAGAATTACTTCCTTTTCTCCTGCTTGTGTCAAACAAGCAGTGAGTTCCAAATACAGCATTTCCATGTTTGGAAATTTCATGATGTTCCTCTTGACAGTAGATTTCTGGATGTGTTTTTGAGCGACCAAACTGCATGGTCTCTCATGGTAAAGGAACTAAGAAA